GTGTGTGTGTGTGTGTGTGTGTGTGTGTGTGTGTGTGTGTGGTTAGTATTTTAAAAACATGTCAGCAAACCTGGGTATGGTAATGAATGTCTGTATTCCCAAATAACTAGGAGCTTGAAGGGGAGAGTTGTTGGGGGTTTTGTTGTTTTGTTTGAGACAAGATCTCTCTGTGTAGCCCTGGCTGTCTTGGAACTTACTCTATAGCTCAGGCTGGCCTTGAACTCAGAGAGCTGCCTGCCTCTGCCTTCCAAGTGTGGGATCAAAGGCGTGCGCCACCATCGCCTGGCAAACTTGGCCAACACAGTGAGATCCCATTTCAAAAAAGAAAAAGAAACAATGGCCAAAACCAAACAGCAGAGCATTGAAATCCCTCCTTTCATGCGGAGTTTTGAGATCTAGTATGTCTGAGCCTCACAGCACATCTCCTTTTGGACACAGCTTCATTTCAAAGGCTGAGTGCTTACAGGTGCCTCCTGTCCTTGTCAGCACAGTGACTTTGTGATTCAACCCAGGTAAGATGGTGCATGGCTTGAATCCCAGCACTCAGGAGGCAGGCAGGTCTCTGAGGTTAGCCTGGTGTATAGAGCTAGTTCTAGAACAGCCAGGGCTACACAGAGAAACTCTTGTCTCCAAAAACAAACAAAAAAGTGTGTGCCATTCTGAGCAAGGCCACATGAAAGACCAAGACAGCATTGTTAGTACTTATAAGGGGAAGGGGCCAGGCCTGCATGAGCACACACTTCAAGGTCGAGTTCTGCTCAACAGTGTTCATAGGATCTGTAGCAGAGGAATTTGAGGGGTGCACAGCAGTTCTGCCTGTTGCTCTTACCTGGGTCAGTCTCATGCCAGGTACAGGGATTGCCATCCAAATCAGAGTCAGAATGTTTCAGGAGCTCTGGGCCTGGGAGAGGCAAGGGCATAGGTGGAAAAATCTGGCAGAGTTGAGACCCCCTCAATGCAGCCTACCCCCTACAGGTGAGAAGCCCTACGTCTGCCCCTACGAGGGCTGCAACAAGCGTTACTCCAACTCGAGTGACCGATTCAAGCACACCCGTACCCACTACGTAGACAAGCCCTACTACTGCAAGATGCCTGGCTGCCACAAGCGCTACACGGACCCCAGCTCACTGCGCAAGCACATCAAAGCCCATGGCCACTTTGTGTCTCATGAGCAGCAGGAGCTCCTGCAGCTGCGCCCACCCCCAAAACCACCACTGCCCACTCCCGACAGTGGCTCCTATGTCAGTGGGGCTCAGATCATCATCCCCAACCCTGCTGCCCTTTTTGGAGGCCCCAGTCTGCCTGGCCTGCCATTACCCCTGGCCCCTGGCCCCCTTGACCTCAGTGCTCTGGCCTGTGGCAACGGTGGAGGTGGAGGTGGGGGTGGGGGCATGGGTCCTGGGCTGCCAGGCTCTGTTCTGCCCCTCAATCTGGCCAAGAACCCACTGTTGCCCTCACCCTTTGGGGCTGGTGGACTAGGCCTGCCTGTGGTCTCTCTCCTGGGTGGTTCTGCTGGTAGCAAGGCTGAAGGGGAAAAAGGTCGTGGGTCAGTGCCTGCCAGGGTCCTGGGCCTGGAGGACCACAAGACTCCCCTGGAGAGGACGGAGCACAGCCGCTCCCGGCCAAGCCCTGATGGACTCCCCTTGCTACCAGGCACTGTATTGGACCTGTCCACAGGCAACTCAGCAGCCAGCAGTCCAGAGGCGCTAACTCCTGGCTGGGTAGTCATCCCGCCAGGGTCTGTGCTGCTCAAACCAGCTGTGGTAAACTGAACCTGGGCTACCCCACCTACCAGCTGTGACAGTCCAGCTACCTACTGTGGGCTCATCCCCTGACGAACAGAAACTCTTCTGCAAAATAGCAATAATATCCTACTGCTCCAGGGGCCCAAGTGTCTGCTTCCTGGGAAGCTGCAGCCCCAGACAAGCTGGGTAGCAAGGATGGTGCTAGAAGGTCTTCAGTGGCTTCCTGGCTCCAGAGTGAGGTCTTGGCTTGGACCTGCTGTCCAAGGAGGCCATGCTCTTGGGTGCTAAGGCCTCACTCACCTCCACTTCCCTAGCCCATAGTTTGGGTGAGGCCTTCCTCTGCCTGTCCTCCAAGGACCCTCCATCCTGCCTCTTGTTCTGGTGCATTCCTCTCCATGAGCAGTCAGGGCAGGTTGCCATTCCTCCCTGCCTTACCTACTTATCAACTGGGGAGTCCTCAGTGATCAGAAGCCCATGCTTGGGAATTCCTTAGACCCCTTTCCCTCTGGCCTGCCCGCTGGAGGGAGAGCAAGACAGATACAGGCCCTGGCCAAGCACAGGAGAAAGCTGCCTTTCCCTGCCTCCTGTTATGACAAGGTGCTTCCCTGCTTGCTTAGCAGAGAAGCCTGCTGTCAGTGGCCCCCTCAGCACTGCCAGAGGGTTGGCAACACTTTATAGACAAGGGGTAGCTGAGCACTCACCATTTCCTTGAGGGTATACAAGCAGGTTCAAAGGTTCGTTGTACTGGTTCATTCCAGCTTGGCTTGGCCTGGCAGTGTTATCTTGAAGAAGCCTCAAAAGTCTACACCAGGTGTACTACCAGGCTTGGGAAAGAGCTATAGGTTTGGGGGTTATGATGTCATGGAATGCAGAGAAGGACTGACTCATTAGAAAGGAGCCCCTAGGTGTGAGGGAGGCTAGGCAGCCACATGCAGCATTTGGAGGACCAACCGTCTGCTTGGGAAAAGCTGGATAGAGAATGGACAAAGTTGTTTCCTCTGACTTTTCTTGATGGTGCCTCTCTTTTTCCCACAAGCTCTACCTAAGCCAGCTCCCCAAGGGCTTGTACTACTCAAAACAAGGTCTAGCACTTATGTAGCGCTAGAGTAAGTCAAGGACTTTGGAGGACTGTGCTCCACAGCTCCGAAAAGCTAGATGTGCCACCTTGGCCTCTTGCTATCTCTTGTGCTATGCTGCAGAGTGACTAAGCCCCTCATCTCCCCATCTGTAGAACAAAAGAGCTGCTCGGATGATAGTGGGCTCCTTAGTAGCTCTGTGGTTTTTTTGAGCAGCTCTGCCTATTCTTTTTCCCAGACTGCCCTTCTGTTTCAGAAGGGTCACCCTGACCTGATCTGACCTGCCCGACTGCTGGGCTTTAGGACCCCAGCCCTGATAGGGCTCGGCTGTGCTGGCTCTACCCCTTGAAGGGGCTGTGAGCAAGTTAAGGAGCTGGTCTCCTGTCTTCGGGTCTACCCACGATCCAATCAACCTCCTGGCTCCGTTAGGGCCCTAGGCCCTAAGTCCCTGGCCAGGGGATTGGGTTTGAGGCTCAAGCCCAAGAGCAGAGGAATAGGGCACTGGAAGGTGACATTAGCTCAGCATGTGATTCAGTGATAGACCAGGCTTGGAAGGGCCGGTATACTTGTCAGTTTGTTGCACATTCCAGGACATCAGTATTTTAACAGGTTCTAAGTGCCTTTCTATTGTAGCTTATGTTTTTCCTCCTTTTGGCTCCATTGCTGTTAGCATAGAGTTTAAAAAAAAAAAAATAAGCTAATGACTATAACAATATATTCCTCCATGTGAGAGGAAGTTTATAAAGAAACAATAAAAGTGAGTTGCAAAGATGGTTTCTGCATAGTAGATGTACCAGGACCTGGGTCACTTGCTCAATGCTTGGTTGTGGGTCCCCCAACTAGACACCTAAAGACATGGCCTGGAGCTTTCCCCTCAACCTGCCACGGGCTACCTTTACTCTAAAGAAGAGATCAGACTAGAAGAGGAAGAACTAGAAACGTATGTAGTAAGGAACAAGGGGATACAGATTATTCTGAACTACAAGGTTCGGGCCTTGATCTACCACCGTCTGCTATGACTGGTTGACACCTTGGTCCAAGCAAGAGGCTGGCCAAAGCTCCTCAGCTACACACAAACACTTTGACCAAGTCACTGAGAGCAGTATGCAACCCCAGCTGGAAGTTCTGGGGCCATGGGTCCTTTATCTTGAGGGAAGGCATGGGAGATCTTTTGGTTTCCTCAGGACTGTGGTAATACGGACACACAGAAGGGAACAAAAGCCTCTGTGACAGATCCTGGCCAGGTATACTAATATGGGTGTGTGCTGTTCACCAACATCCCACTCACCAGGCTGTCAAAGGCTGCTGCCTCCTGACTTTCACAGCCCAAACAGGCAGGAAGTGAACAAACCTCAAATAGGAATATATGCACTGGAGAAACATGGAAAAGACATTTATTACTGAGCTATAAATTACGAGGCAATGGGTGGGGTGGGAAGTGCCCAGCAGTCACGTTTTGGGCATCTGCCCTTTCTCTCTGTCTTCTTGGTCTTGTATTCGGAGTTCCTCATCTAGGCGTTCCTTTGCACGGACAACCTAGGAGGAGGAGGAAGATTAGGCTCTTGACAGTCTCTGCTCTTTGCCTGAATGGAGGACCTTTCCCCTTCCTGTCCCAGGCCCTAACAACCTTCCTAGAGGACAGTAGACTGCCAAGATTCAAACAACTTAAGTAGCACCCCTGGGTAGAAGGGGAAGCATGTGGCTTTCTTTTCTCATAGAGTTAAAGAGCACTCACCTTTGACTGCAAGTAGAAGGAGCCACCCACAGATTTATCGTTCACCTTAAATAGGTGCTCATAATTCTGCAGAAATGAGACAGTGAACATTAGTCTCTGGGTGAGACATTAGGGAAGGCTGATGACGAGAGAAATTAAAGGGCTTGACCTCTGACCCACATTATCACACAGGAAACTGCTGTGTGATTCTCAAAAGAACATGAGAAAGACAGGTAACCATGTGGGATGGCTCAGCTGCTACAGCTAGCTACCATGTCTCTGTATTTGTGCTGCCTGGGGGGCTTTTCAAGTTGCCCCTTGCTGTGGTCAGAGCCTCTTCCCCCACCCACCCTCTTGTGACTTCCTGTGCAGTACTGCCCCATGGCAGATGAGGGGCCTCACCTTCTGGACCTGCTCAGGGTTCAGCTTGGAGACGTTGAGAATCTGCTGGGCCTCCTGGAGGCTGAGGCCGGAGAGGTTGGATGCAGCTGCAGACTGGTGCCCAGCACGACCCCGAGCATCAGCAGCTGCCTGGCTTGCTGTTAACACATTGGTGACTGCTTAGCCCCCTTGGTGGCCCAGAGCTTCCCCTAGACCTTCTAAGTGACACAAAAGAAACAATTTGCCCAGGAGTGGCTTTTCTTTAGTACTGGCTTCCTTTTGGAGGGGAGGGACAAACATTTATGAAGGATAGGATAGGGTCAAACTAGGCTCTTGGTCCCTCAATCTAGACCACAAGATGATTTTGTCCCTTCTTCCTCCCCTCATTCTTTGTCCCAGAGGCCTACCAAATTGGGAGCTTTAGGCTACTTTGGGGACTAGGGTAAAGCTACAGGCAGGGGAGGAGCATTAGCTGGTGCCAGAGACCTCAAAACCTGGCCTACTCAAGTGTCCAGACTATCACAGCAGACCGTCCCGGGACTGCTTTTTTTTTTGGCGACCTTAGTCAAAAGCCAGCATACTTGCTCTTAAAGTGCCAGATAATAAACACTTTAACTTTGGAGCCAATTAGTCTCTGTTGCCATTACTCAGCTCTCCTTGAGAACAGCCAGAATATGTGACTCTCTTATTTACCAAAATAAGGTAAATGGGCCCACAAGGGCCCATTTGCCCTGGACACTCATGCTAACCAGGCCTAACTGAAAATAAACCCTTCCTGTCTATAGGAATATCTCAAAGTCTGGCACTGCCTCCTACCATGGGAAAGTACTCCAGGCCATCTAAGCCACAGAACTCTACCCAAAAGAGATCCCTTCATTCACAACTGACACAACCCTTAAGGGCAAAAAAATCTTGGCAGGGCTCCCAGCATGCAAAGAGGCTTACCTGCAAACTCCTGCCTCAGGGCCCGGGCAAAGGCTCTGCCCACCACCTGCACACCCATCACAATGATCTGGGCCAGGTACTTGGCCTGTAGGCAGAAGGGACACCTTGAGTGGAGATCTAAGGGTTACCTCCTCTAAACTTCCTTTGGTGGTTCTAGATACACTGGAGTTCCCAGAAGCAGATTGGAAAGGCTGTAGGGGATGAAAGTGGTACTGACTTGGCGGAAGAAACTGGCTTGAGAGCCAGTATACAATACAGTCCCAGACTGCCACCAGTTTAATTCACTCCAAGGTCACTGAGGGCTCCTCTATGCTTTTGAGACCATCTGGCCCAGCCTTCATATCACCAGGGAAAAAACAGATCCACCCTAAGTCTCCCAAAACTTCAAGTCCTATGACTAGGAATCTGTCCACGAATACAACAACAATAAAATCACTAAAGGTCTGGGTATGGTGGTGCATGCCTATAATCCTAGTACTAGGGAGGCCAAGGTAGGGTAATCATGAGTCTGGATCTCACAGTCTCAAAAAAACCAAACAAATGGAAGTCAAGATGGTTCAGCAGGTAAGAGTGCTTGCTCTTGAAACCACAGGGATCTGAGTTCAAATCCCACTATCCATGTAATAAGCCAGGCATGGTCTTATCCTGTGTATACCTATTATCCAAATATTGAGTAGAGTGGAGAAAAAAAAAAGGATCACTAGGGCTTTCTGGCTACCACCTAGCTAGAAACAAGTATTCCAAGTTCAGAGAGAGAGAGTCCATGCCTCAAAGGAATAAGGTAAAGAGTAAATAGAAAAGGAAACCAAAAAATTCTACCGTCCACACACATGCACACCATACAAATTAACAAAAGGGGGGAGGCAGGCTAAGGGTCTACTTAGAACACAATGCTCAGGAGCTAAAAGTCTACAAGGGATTCAGGCACATGCTAAGATATGAACCCAGCAACTGGAAGAGTATGGTCATCTGCTGGGTTCACACATCTATTCCAACAGTCAACTCAGCATTGGACAAAGACTGTACACAGGACTCAATCCTTGCTCTCAGAACAGGCTGCACAGCCACTGTCCAAGTAGAGAAATCTTCTTCAGCAGTGCAAGGCCACTGAGATCCCAATATTATATAATCAAGGTAATGTGGAGGCCCTGGGAAGCCTAAGACTTGATCAGCAGCAGAGTTCACTATCAGGACTGGGAGGGAGTTCTGGGGGAAGATAGTATTTCTCCTAGGCTGGAACCTGAGGGTTAGATAGGTGGAGCCATGACAGTGAGTGACAAGTGCAGGAGGGAGCATCCTAGGCTGGAGAAAGACCAGAGGATGGATTCATGGAGAAACATTAAGATGTTACTGTGAAGCAGAAATGATGGAGAGACAGCATGCATAGAACTGGATCCCATGTCTGTGAAATGATATAAAGCAGCACGCAGAGGACTCCCGATGAATGCTCACTGCAAGCTAGGAGTACTCACATGGTACAGCTCAAAGATTGGGCCTTCCTCCCTTGTACTTTGCTGTGGCTAATCTCAATAAATACCAACTGAGCCTGTGTACCAGGTACTGTGTCAGACACATTCTAGTGTCTGTGCCATTTCATCCCAAGAACTCAAGAGGTTTAGTGACTCATTGGTACTAGGGAGAGCGGGTGGGGAAGGAAGCTGGAGCCCTATTAACCATAGGACTCTACTCCACAGGGAAGATGATAGCAAGATGACTAGCATCAGGAACTCAGACTCCAGAACTGGACTTTCTGGCTTCTAGGTCCTGCCCTTCCCTAACAAGCAGATCTAATTATGGGCTATTAGGGAAATGAAGAGGCCTCACAGCATGTTGGAATTTCAGAAGCCTAGCTTTCATATAGAAAGGGCGGGCCAGAGAAGCCCCTCCTGTGATCAAAGACAGGTATGAGCTACAGGAAGCTGTGTGGGAGTAACAGGAGAACAACAGAGTGCTTATGAACTGGTGATCTTACCTGACTTGTACCTTTCTCACCTAGAGCCATTGCCAAGTAAGGCAGGGAACTCTGAGATGGAATTTAGCTTCTATATGACTGGTCCTAGAGCACCCCTCAGGAAATACTTCACACAGAAAGTCTGCCTCTCTGTTGCCACATATCTACTACATGACCTTGGAAGCAATGAGGCACTTTTCTAATAGTGACTTTATTGCTCAATAATGTATGTTAAAAACTCAGGTTCTGGGAACTGGAGAGATGGCTCAGTGCTCAAGAATAAGGGCTGGTCTTCCAGAGGTCCTGAGTTCAATTCCCAGGAACCACATGATGGCTTACAACCATCTGTAATGAGATCTGGTGCCCTCTTCTGTCCTGCAGGGGTACATGCAAACAGAACACTATACATAAAACAATACAAAAAACACCTCGGAGTTCTCAGGTTCTAGCTGGGCATGGTGACACCTTTTATTCCTGCACTCAGGAGGCAGAGACAGGCCAATCTCTGTGAGTTCGAGGCCAGCCTGGTCTACAGAGTGAGTTCCAGGACTACAAAGAGAAACCCAGTCTTGAAAACACAAGAAAACTGAGGCTGGCCATCATGATAGCACACGCCCTTAATCCTACCACTGCAGAGGCAGAGGCAGAGGCAGAGGCAGATGGATCTCTGAGTTCAAGGACAGCCCCTGGTCTACATAGGAAGTACCAGGATGACCAGAGCTATATAGAGACTCTTTTCCAAACAAATAAAACAAAATGGAGAACTTTCCCTTGCACACTTCAAGCCAAAGTGGCAAGTGGCCCTATATCTGGAGTATAATGGCTGTGGGGAAGGCAGGCTTGCACTAGATCTTAGCCAAAGGCCTAGAAGCTATTAGCAAAGGCAAAACTGGCCAGCAGTTTCATCAGCCACTGGGGATTTGCAGACAGCTACTCATGTTCCCAGGGGGAAGCAGTAATACATTTTGTTGTTGTTTTTTTTTTTTTTTTTTTTTTTTTTTTTTTTTTTTTTGAGACAGGGTTTCTCTGTGGCTTTAGAGGCTGTCCTGAAACTAGCTCTTGTAGAGCAGGCTGGTCTCGAACTCACAGAGATGTGCCTGCCTCCGCCTCTTGAGTGCTGGGGTTAAAGGCATGCACCACCACCACCCAGCTCTCTACCAGTTTTTTAAATTGCAAAATGAAGAGAATAATATATTTCCATACAGGAGGGGTGTAAGGCCCTGGGAGGCAATGCACACAAAATTGAGTAGACAGACAGCAGCATCCTAGAATCAGAGCTCAACTGCTGGCTTTGCTCCCAGACCAGACCCTGTTTGGTGTTAATAGTCTGGCAATCAGGTGATGCTCAAAGTGGAAGATTTTGGGAGAGCAAAGCTCTGCCAGTTACAGTCCACTAGAAGGCCCTCTAAGAAAGCCCCCAACAGCTCTAACTCACTGACAGGCCTCAAGGTCCCAGGCCAAGAACAACCAATTCACAGCTCACTCCAGGCAAGCAGTAGCTGGGGGCAGGAGTTATAAACACAAGGCTTCAACCTTGAAACCTGCTGTTAGCAACTCACTTCCTTTCCTATCTGGGAATATGACCTCAGACAAGGTTCATGGGGGGGGGGGGGGGGCGCTGGAGGGTGGGCAAAAATGAGGCTTAAGTCATCGAAGTGCATCAGGAAGGGCCCAACTTTCAGGCCTGTGTACAATGTTCCTCCAATACACAGTAGCAGGCCCTGGGTGTGGATCAGACTGACGACAGGAAGGAACTTGGGTTATCCCTTGAGCCCTTTTAATAGTTACTGGTGTCACTGCTAGACAGGAGGAAGGTCAGGACTATATGGTGCCATTTGTGACAGTATTTCTGGGTCCCCAGAGGCCTGCACAGCAGGTGCCCAATATATACTTGAAAGTGTGTGACTGTCCATGAATTAACACTTTAATCAAGTCACTCTTAAGTGCTGTTTGGCCAAAGCTGCAATCTCACACACTCCATTCCCCAGGCAGGGTTTCCATATGCTTCTAATGCTGCCAAGTTAAGGCTCTGGTGGTTGCCCAATTCTCACACAGTGCTCCTGTCTGCATATTCAGGTCAGCTTGGCACTGATATCTCTCACCTCTGACCTCATCTTAGTTCTCTGGATTTTTTCCCTCTTACCTTTCCCCCATTGCAACTGTACCCTTTACTTCTAGGTAAGCTCTCATGATTCTTTATGCTCTGAGTTCCTTCACTGTGAATACCCTCCTTCCTACCTAGATACTGTCAAGATGCAACATTGCAAAGGCATGGTGAGCAGGGCGGTGGTGGCACACGCCTTTCATCCCAGCACTCGGGAGGCAGAGACAGGCGGATCTCTGTGAGTTGGAGACCAGCCTGGTCTACAAGGAGAGTTCAAAATCATTCTTGGCTACATAGCAAGTTCAAGGTCAACCTGAAGAAAAAACTCTTTAAAAAAAAAAAAAAAAAAAAAAAAAAAAAAAAAAGCCCCAAAAAGCAAAGGCATGGTGGTGGCACATACCTAATTCCAGCACTTGGGAGGCTGGGGCAGGGTGATCCCTAGAGTTTGAAGCCAGCCTGAGTCACAAAGCAAGACAATGCTCCAAACCAAAAACCTTTAACAACCTTCAGGGCTGGAAAAATACGCCATAATCTGACTCCCAGGTGAAAATTCTAGACTCCTCCCATTTATACCTTCTTTTCCTATTTGGAGGTGTACTGGGGATTGAATCTAAGGCCTCTCCCCTGGTGGGCAAGCATTATAACACTGAGCTATGCCCTGGAACTCATGAAGTCCATACTAGTTCTGAACTCCTGATCTTCCTGCCTCAGCCTCCCAAGTGCTGGGTTTGCAAGTGTAGCCACTATGACCGCCTGAGAAAAGCTGAGAGTTGAATATGGAGAATGCAAGGTACGAGCAATCAATACAGGTCCTCACAAGATGTCGGTGGCCCAATTACAAGGCAGGGATAATATGGTGGCAAATCAACAAAACTGGGTCCAAAACAGCCTCTGACTCTTGCATAAAAGAAGAACCTGGAAAAGTCAAATTCTCGGAACTTCAGGTCCCTTGAATGTAAAATGGGGATGACTGAGAGAGATTAAATGACAATCTACATAAAGTCTCAGCTCCAGGCACAGCACTGTAAGCAGTTAACTGCCACCTTCTAATTATTAAATAACAGGCTCCCTAGTCGGGTGTGATGAGGCACACCTTTGATGCCAGCACTGGAGAGCCAGGGGCAGAGGCAAGTGGAGCTCAGCAAGTTTAAGGCCAGTCTGATCTACTACAATAGGACGTTAGGAGACAACCAAGGCTACCTATAGTGCTACCCTGTCTCAAATAAGTACATAAGCAGACAAGGAAATAAATAGGTTCCCCCAACCAACCGCCTTCCAATTACTTAGGGGCAAAACTAAAGAACCTGCCTTTTAAAGGTTGCACAGGCGACATGCATGGTCTCCCACAAATACTCAGCCTCCAGGTCTCGATTTCAGCTCAGGTCCCAGGACTACCACTTCCTTGGAGGAGCCAACTGTCAAACGCGGTTAAAAAACCAAGCGACATCGCCGAGTCCTACCACTCAGGAGCCGGCCCACCCAACAATCACCTCCTCCCACAGCCCGTAGAAGCTTGCTCACGCCGGGGCCCGGCCCGCGGAGGCTGGCGCCCCGGGGAGGCTGGCCCCCGCCGGGGCTTGCTGCCGGCCGAGCCTCGGTTCCCAGGCCCGGCCAGCGGTCGTCCCTGCCCGAGAGTCAACGGCCTGCGACCCCACGACGCGCCACAGACCCTACTTCCTGTGGGGGCCGGGGCCAGCCTCCCGACTCTGACTCGACCTCCCTCCCCGATCCTCACCATGGCGGCCGCTCCGCCTCACAGGGCCGGGTGCCGCTCCCGGACCCAGTGGGACCAGCGCTGGGGCTGCCGGTGGGTCAGAGGTCAAGGGAGACTGGAGAGCGCGTGCGCGACGACGCGACGACGCGACGACGCGACGCATTTCCAGGGGCGTGACTCTTCCGGTATGTATGTAGGCGGGGCCTGCCTCGGGATCTGAAGACTACTGGGCGGGCGATGGGCGGCTGCAAACCTCCGGTGGCCTTGGAACTGGTGCACCAAGTTGTTTTTTTCCCTTCATCTCCCCCGAAATAGTTAGGAAGGAGCCATCATATGAAATAAGCCAAAGTAATAAAGGGCTGGATGTCAATTTCTCTGGAATACTTAAGAAACTAGGTATTTCAAAATAGGTTTAATTCCAGATTCCTCCTGCTTGTGAAACTACTAGATACCAGATGGGATAGTTTCCACCCACTTCAAGTCTATAATGTAAAGCCTTCTTCTCAGTGAAGTCCATCAAGTCCCCCCACTACACTGATATGCCCACCACGCTGCTGCTTTAGATGGACTGGGGTGTGATGGAGAATGTACTGTGTATGTTCATCTTATTGATTATTGAATAAAGTACTAATTTGGCCATGAAACAGCAAGTTAGACAGGACTAGGAGTCAAAGAGGATTCTGGGAAATGTAGTAGAGAAGTGGTGATCCAGGCAGGAAGAGACATAGCAAGGAGACTCATGCAAGCAAAGGAAACAAGAAGCGTCTTCCCTTTCCCCTTCACCTCCTCCAGCGGCGGGATGTGAGCCACCGGCAAGGAGGGACGCCAATAAGGGGTCTGATAAGTCTTATAAAATATATAGATTTATGATAATTAAGACTGAGCTAACAGATGAGAATCCTAGTAACTGGCCAAGCAGATCTGTACCTAATACAAGTCTCTCTGTGCATTAATTTGGGCCCTAACTCGGGCAGGCGGCTGGCGTAAAGCACACGTGGCGGTGGGGCTCGGGCAGCTTTTGGAGGAAAGATTTATCGTAACAGGGGTGTGTTTTAAAAGATAGTTCTGGAATCCTTTGGGGGGGAGCCTGGGGAGTGGGGTGGCAAGACAGGGTTGCTCTGTGTAGCCCTGGCTAGCCAGTGCTGGAACTCTGTAGACCAGTCTGTCCTTGAACTCACAGATCTGCCTGCCTCTGTCTCTTGAGTGCTGGGATTAAAGGCGTGCACCACTACCACCCTGCACGTTATAGAATCTTTATGTCTCGATGTTGCCAGGTTTGTTTAAGCGTCTCTGATTGGCTTGCAGAGGGTTCTCTTCTCTCCAAGTCTTCACAAGATCTTCTCTGGTCTCTGTGTTTGCGACAGTTCTGTCAAGACACCCATAGTTCACACACTAAACAGTTGGACCTTTTGGAGTGCACAATTCAATTCTGCCTTCACCACCATCCAGTCTAGAACATTTCCTTCCACCCAGCAGTCACTTCCCTACCCTGGAAACTACTCATTTGCATTCTGCCACTATGGTTTGCTCTGGATATCCCATAGAATCAGAGTCACAACTACATGAGGTCTTTTGTGACTAGTTTATTCCTTCATGTTCCATTTGGTCTATTCCCCCGCACACAAGCTCTCATCCTCTATAACAGTAGTTCTCAACCTGTGGGTCAAAACCCCCTTGGCGACAGGTGTTGGTGGCACACACTTTTAATCCCAGCACTCAGGAGGCAGAGGCAGGTGGATCTCTGTGAGTTTGAGGCCAGCCTGGTCTACAGAGCTAGTTCCAGGACAGCCTGGAGCTATGTAGAGAAAACCAAAAAAAGAAAAAACAAACAAAAAAACCCAAAAACCAAAAAACCCCAAGACAAAAACCTCCCTTGGCAAACCTCTATCTGAAAAAATATTTACATTACAAATCATAATAGTAGCAAAATTAGTTATGAAGTAGCATCAAAAATAATTTTATGGTTAGAGGTCACAACATGAAGAACTTTATTAAAGGGTCACAGCATTAGAAAGGTTGAGAACCACTGCTCTACAACAAAATTCCTTTATCTTTACCTTTATTATTTATTGCTATGCCTTCCCACTAGAGTCTGAACTCTCAGTGGGCAGAACATTGAGGTCTTTACTTCTAGCTATCAAGCACCTGGAAGGCAGCTTGGCATGCAATGGAAACTCACAGATGTTTGGTGAATGGATTTAAGTCAGATTCCTCTGCAATAGTGGTTTTCAACCTTCCTAATGCTGTGACCCTTTAATACAGTTCCTCATGTTGTGGTGACGCCCCCAACCATAAAATTATTTTTGTTGCTACTTCATATCTGTAATTTTGCTACTGTTAAAGATTGTATATAAATACCTGCTTTCCGGGGGTCTTTTCTTTTTGAGGGGTGTTTGAGACAGGGTTTCTCTGTGGCTTTGGAGGCTGTCCTGAAACTAGCTCTTATAGACCAGGCTGGTCTCGGACTCACAGAGATCCACTTGCCTCTGCCTCCCAAGTGCTGGGACTAAAGGCGTGCGCCACCACTGCCTGGCTGTTTTCCAGTGGTCTTAATTGACTGTGAAAGGGTCATTCAACCCCCAAAGGGGTCATGACCCACAGATTGAGAACCTCTGATCTAGACCACTGCCCATCCTTCTCTCTGTCTCTCCAATTTCTCTCTTCCCTTGGTACACTGCTGAAGTTCCCTTCATTTCCTCTTGACTCCTTCAGGTCTTAGTTTTCAGTTTCAAATAACATCTCTTCCTCAGCCCCTTGACACTGCTTACCCCAGCCCAAGTCAGTTCGTCTGTTTTTCCTCCAATCTGCTTTCTAGACATAGTGTGGTTCCCTAGGACGAAGCTATGATCAACTGACACTCCATCTGTCCTGCTCATTACTAAGTAAATGTAGCAAAGTAAAACCACTATGAAGAGAGGTCCAGAACCAAAGTTCTCTATTACGATCAATCTTTCCGCCAAAAGCCATCTGAGCCCTACCGCCACGTGGGTGCTTTCTGCCAGCCGCCCGAGTTCTGCCCACCAAGTTAGGGCCCCAAATAATACACAGAGACTTATATTAGACACAAATGCTACTTGGCCAATGACTAGGATTTCTCATCTGTTAGCTCAGTCTTAATTATCATAAATCTATATATTTTATAAGACTTATCTTATTTAGGATGCCTTCCATTGGCATCCTTATCCCGGGATTACATGGTGACTCTGGAGGAAGAGAGAAGGCGCCCACTTCCTTCTTCCTTTGTTTATATATGCGTCTCCCTGCCATGTCACTTCTTGCAGTTCTCTCTCTCTCTCTCACACTCTGTCCCCTTTCTTCCAGACTCCCAGAGACCAGCACAAGAGGCAGACAGCTTAGAAAAGTTTAATTGCTGAAAACACCCAGAGCATGTGTAGGCTGGTTGTTGTGGGGCCCACACCACTGTAATGAGGCTGTTAGCTCCATGAGACCCTTTCTCCTGGCCTCAAGCCAAGGGAAGCAGGGAAAATGATCCCAGGCCCCTGAGGATAAAGCTGCTCCCAACAGCCTGGTGGGGGACCAGCCCCCAATGTCCTTGACTGGAGCTGGGGCAGTAGGCAAGATAGGTTGGCATGTAGTAACTGAAGATGTTAGATGAAGCCAGCAGAAAGACTAGGAGAGACAAGGCATCCAGGGTTGGCCCAGAGACACGCTACTGGCATCTACTTCCCCCCCACTGGTGTCATATGCTAACAGGCAGCTGAAGAGAAACAGCTGGCCACAGAGGGCAGAGGAGCACAAAGTCCCTGGAGTTGCAGTGGGTCCAGCAGCAGTGAGAGTGCCTGAGGTCTTCAGGAAACCCAGGGCTCCTGGGCTGGGTGTGCCTGCCAAGGCCACAGCAGCGCTGTCCAGTTTGCAGAGACATAAGGTGTGGAAGGGCAGCAGGTGGTTCTAGAAGGTGGCAGAGGCAGTTGAGGCCACGGGTGCCTGGTGTGCAGACTAGTCCTGGGGAAGGAAACCAGGAGGCAGGAGTTAAGAAGGCCTAGAAGGGGAGGGTATGTTTATAGGACAAACAGTGGTACTGGCTAAGGAAGCTGAGTCCAACTGTCACTCACCCACTCGTCTTCATCCACCCCTTCAAAAGAGTCCTGGGGCAAAGGGTCTTCTCGATTCCCCAGCTTTGCCACCATGGCACTGAGCAGCTGTGAAGGGAGATAGGGGAGGCACTGAAAGAAATGACTCTCTGATCTCAGTAACTTACAACCCTAGCTTTAACACCTATAATGCTGAAAAACAGCCAGCTCAGTTAGAACCCTGGTGAGGCTGATGGGTTTTCTTTGTGAAAGATGTGAAGACAGTAACAGCATCAGGGACAGGGCTGCAGTGTGACACTGGACACAGGGACAGGGCTGCAGTGTGGCTCCGGACACAGGGACAGGACTGCAGTGTGGCTCCTGACACAGGAGCTGCTGTCTCTGTGCACTGCTGCAAAGGCTCAAATGTACACTGGGATCACCGTGGGCTTAGGTCTCTAATCTTTAACTTTGGCTGGGTCAGGGCTGGCTAAAATGTGTGTGTCTTGTTGCCCTCCCTGGCTTCCTGTGCCCTGGGGGCAGCAGCAGGCCCCTAGGGGTGGCCCTTCCCCAAAGTCTGGTATGGAGACAAGAGTGACACACGGCTCATCCTGACATCTGGGTTGGAGCTGGACCTGCAGATAGCCAAGCACAAGGAGGGCACCCATTGTCTGCGCAGCACAGCCAGCCCTCTCCCATGCCCACCTCTTCTTTTTTCTGTTGGTCAGACTTCTCTTCCAAGTACTGTGCTGAGGATGGGGCTCTCCGGGCAGGGGCCTCTCGAGGGGCTTGGCTCACTGGAGTGGAGCAAGGACAATCATCAAAGAAGGCCCTGTTCAGAACCAACCCCCAGGAGATTCTCTGGTATTGATCAAAGAAGTGGCATTAATAAGTATCAAACCCTGTTCACCAGGCCTGCCCAAAGCAGCAGGGTATATATTTGTAAGAGTTTGAATGTGGGCTAGGGGTGGTGGCACACGCCTCTAATCCCAGCACTTGGGAGGCAGAGGCAGGTGAATCTCTGTGAGTTTGAGGCCAGCCTGGTATATAAATCAAGTTCCAGAATAGCGAGAGCTGTCACAGAGAGAGAGAGAGAGAAAAAAAAAAGGGAGTACATGTGTTGAGTGTGTTGAGTATGTAACATATGTGTGCATGTGTGTGTGTACATATGCATGTGTGCTAGGATAAAACACAGGCCACAGGACTTGCCCCTCAGGAGTTCGGAGACTGGGTCTGGAGACATGTCCACACAGAGACCGCTCTCTATGTGGCAGGAGAAATGGAAGACTGTACTTGGACCTTCTGATCCTTCTTCTCACTCCTGTCCAGATTCCCCCTCCCTCGCTGTCTCCCCATTTTATCCCTTACTCAACCTGGGGTCATGCCAGGGGGCTGTAAACTCAGTAGCTGGGGCTGTCCATTAGCACCCCCCAGCCAGGCCTTGGCATTGAGTACTGGCTCCCAGCTCACAGCTGTGTCCGGGAACACATCATCCTGGAAGAACTCTTTCTGTAGAGAAGAAAGGAGCTGTCATGAGACACTAACCAGGGGGCCAGGACACATAAGCCCCAAGATCTGGCCTGACCCACACTGGCAATCTGCAGAATTCTGCTCTGCAGAATTTTAGTAGAAT